GAGTGTTACAGAACTCACACAACTTGATTGGGCATGTATGCATTTTGATCACTTGCCCACTCATATACCTGAGCTTTTTTTTATCTCAAAATTACATTCTATACCAAACTTTAAATCTATTCAGTTTCTAAACTTCAATTTCAAAAATAAATTTGAAATCTAGACTTCATAAAAATAATTCATACTTGTCCAGTGCTCTTCCTCTGCAGATTTCTTTTAGCATTTCACAAACTAAAAGAGATGAGCCTTATTGCTGTTTTACAAATAAAAAATTGAATAAAAGTGACATGCACGGTGACATGCCAAATGAAGAAAAGACAAGAAAATATATTATGGTTCCTGCCTCCTGCACCTCATTAATTTTATACAATACCTCCGTATTGGCTTAAAAAAACCCTGTCTCTAGTACAGTGTCCAAATTTTAACTAAACTATTATGACTGTTAAAAATTAGTTTAGATGTAAACAATTTCATTGTCAGGCAGTAGGTACCCCAGCACACTGCTGATAACAAAACAAAATCCTCGTGGTATTTAATGTATTATTCAAGCAAGAACTTTGGCAGCCTACTACATTCAAGTTCATTTCCTCAATTACCATCTAACTCCCCAAAACCAGTATTTTTTTGATTTGTGTAGCAACATAAAAATATAGCTAGACTGCCTTCCTCAGCTGGAAAGTTCATATTCACAGTTCCATGAGAAATTCCTAGCTCAAGCCTAGAACACTGAGTACGTGCAAGGCTCACACTTTTTCATGGTTGTTTCTCTATCTTTTCTACCTTGTAAAAGAAGTGTCAATTTATTCTACAACGCTATAGCTCTGAATGATTGTGCTTTGTGGGGAATTAAAAAGAAAGCATTTCTTAAAAGTAAAGAATGATAAGGTGTCTTTATTTTTTTTATTTCTTGCCACCATCTTGAATGTTCAATTTTAGGTTATGATCCTACCAATGGTCGTTAGGAAGAAGCTGTTGAACTACCAATGATGAACATAATGCACAGGAGTCAATGGCAGATAAAAGTGGGAGACAGGACAGAAAAATGTAAATCTTTAGTGAAGGCATGTGCATACACATTGTTCTCTGTTTTACACGGAGAAAGTGAAGGAATTCAGATGTTGTTTAAACCTAGATTGTAGGCAAACAAAAAGCAGTCCTAAATTTTGATCCTCCAAAATGGTGATGATTTATATCAGCACATAAATAAATGTGCATACCTGAATTAACAATGCTTTGAGTTAATCCTGCTTTTTTTGTTCTCCCTTAAAGGCTTTGTTTTGTTACCCAGCATGCCGTGGATTTTTTGATTGCTGTTTCATACTTAGAAAACCAGGGAACAAATGGTTTTCAGCTTTACTGTTTTACTTGTATCACGTCCTCATGGCTCTCTTCTAATATAGCATTTCGCAACAAAGCTCATTTTGTTATAAAATGTGGATTTTATTTCAGAATTCCTGTTTTCTGGAAAAAGAAAACACTAATAAAAAGTAATTTTATTTGGCAAATCATCCATCTCATTCATCTCATTGTGTCCAATAAGGTGGAAATGATTACACAAGGTGGTAAAAATCCTTGCTCCCTGTAAATCATTAGAGTTTTATGCCTGTTTTCTCTAAGTTAAGATTTGATCCCAGTAGGGCAAGGATCGGTTTATATTAATGAATTATGATAGTGATTTGAATTTGATGAAGTTCTATGGGATTACCATGTGATTGTTTCATTCATTGGGGTATCACTACCAGCCAAAACTCCTCTTTGCCTCATAGCATATTCTTTCTCATGTTCGGGTATGTGCTATGAAAACAGACAAAGCTATTTCTGGCAAATACACAAGCAGTGCAAGAAAAGAGTTCTGTATCACTTCCATTAAAAAACTTCCCCTTTCTTACCCATTCTGTACACGCTATGGGAGTCAATTGTCAAGGTAACTCAAATCTCTCCAGATCAGTGGTCTACCTTCTTGGGGCCTCTCCAGCACAGAAGTTTCCTGACCCATCTTTTTACCCTTCCTTGGAGGTCTGTAACAATTTCCTATAAACGTTTTACTACTTCTTTTAGCTACATTTTGTGTTTGTCACATTAGCTAACCCACATATGTAATTTTACTTAAAATACCACAACCTCTAACTAGATCACCACATCACTTCCCAACTTCTGAATTTGTCTCTTTGTTAAATTGTATACTCTGATATTTTTATATTAAGCCATTTAACCAAGAGCCAGTCATGTTTGTACTTCAAATGTTTACTATTTTGTTCTGAAACATCATTTCATGTTCCTCACATTTTTACACAGATTCTCTTTGTAAAAGAAAGTGAATTTCCTTTCTCTGGGCAATGCTTTCTATCTATATTATTCACTTCAACAACTTAAAAAATTACTTATCCTTTAAAAGTTGGCTAATCTCTCTTCCATCTTTCACTACCTATCCTTTTGCTAAAACAACACACATAAAACTGAATACTAAAATTACAAGACTACTTCCCTGCTAATTTCTTATACAGATACGGCCTGTCAGTTCTAGATGACTTTGGATCAGCCCCAAACAAAAGAAAATATTCTGGGTAGTATAACCCTGCACGGAACAATGTGATCTGTATAAAAAATCACTTACTGAATCACCAGCACCTCTTTCCACTCCTAGGAGATCTCCCATCGAAGCAATGCCTGAATTAGTGCAGAGTGATTTGTGGCTTTCCAGCTGTCATTCATTAATTCTTAGGAAATACAATATACAGTACACTAGTACTCGGTCTGAGGTTGTAGCCTGCGATGTAGGAGAGTGTAATTTGCCTGCTGAAGGTTCTTTCAAATTGTTTTCAAACAATAACTGCGGCCCATTATTTCCATAACCCCTCAAACCCATTTCACTCCTGATGAAATATCGTGTCGGTCGCGCAGACCCATAAAGAGGGAAGAGTGAGCAATTGCGTTTGTGGAGAGTCTGGTCTATGAAACGAAGGGCTGAGCTGAAGACAAGGGGCTCGACTCCAGTCCTTTGCCATATGTTTATCTTTGGCAAAGAGGAGAGCACAGACAAGCCTGTTAACAGACAAGTGACCTGGGCACTCGGATCCACCACCTTTGGCACTGTCCTACATGGGTGACTGGTAAAAGTTGTCCTGTTTTAGAAAGAGTATTGCATAGCTACCATTCATCACTAGCTGCCTGGTTCCTTTGACCAGAGACAGGAGAGGATGTTGTGACGTGTGGGCTCCATTTGAGGATCCAAGAGCCCAGGGACCTACCTTTAGAGCAAGGCAAGGAGCTGCTTGCACCACGCCAGCCAGAGAGGCTGTGTAATGCCTGCTTCATCACGGGCTTTTGGCAAAATCTATGACAAGTTCAGCTCAGCCAAAAAAACACCGCACCTTTAGACGTGCACTGTAGCAGAACTTGAGCAGGGAAGTCTTCTGGTGTGTCTCAGGCATCCCTGGCTTTCCAGAAATATGAGAATTTCTGGAAACCCTCCTGAGAAACCCCCCTGCATAGGGATTTATTTTTTTTTCAGGTCTATTGCCCTCTTAAATTTACATGTTAATTACCCTGAACTGCACATCAGGTACCTAAGAGCTTTTTTCCCCTTCAACTCTTACGCAGTTGAATTAAGAAGTAAATAAAAAGATAGGAGCGGGAGCTAAACCTGAAACAAGAATGACTTATAACAAATACTGGGGTTAACGAAGCATAGCCATCATTCAGGGTTTAGTAGGCACCATGACAGTCATCATTTTAAGGAAGGACTTGAAAAACAATGTTTCAAGTATTTTCATGGTGAACTCCTCCCATGCTCAGGGGTTTTCATGCTTTTAGCTTTTACATCTGCAACTGAAGCTAACTGTGAAATTAGCAATTTATTTATCCCATGGTACATATGCACATATTTTCAACAGTAAAAGTGTGTAAAGGTCAAAGAGAATACTGTGAGTAAAAGCTAGAGCCTTTTTGACCACATTTTGCCACTCAGCATTTAATCAAATACCTGCAGAGATTCACATAATGAAACATTTCCCAGTTCCTTTCGTGTTGGTTGTATCATTAATACTGTTAACACACTGCTGTTATTTCTAAACAACATAATATGAGCTCTGCCAAAATAACAAGTCAGGACAAAGAAAGTTGACCTTAAAAACGGCTGTGTGAATTGCAAGGAGGCAGAAAATGCCATTAAGTATAAAATAGAACAATAAAGGCCTATGATTTGTAAACAGCTTTTGATTCTGTAACAAAATAAGCCTCCTTAGAAATATATATACCCATTAAGGTATTTTTCAAGTTTATATCTTTACAAAAACTACATTAGAACTTATAGTCTGTTTCTTGTACTATGTCCTACTCTAAAAATATATATAAACACAAAGAGAAAAGTATCTTTTATGGAAATTCACTATTTCTGATTATTTAGCCGCAGATTTGAAAGAAGATATTTACTAGGATATAAAGTTGTTGCTAATCTTGTTTGGAAGGTGTAACTGAGAAACAAAAAAAAGTATACTGACTGCATGTTAACAGAGATAAACTTATCTAGACCACTGTCTGTGTACATAGTTGCATTCAGATGTATCCATCTGAAATCAACATGGAATTATACATTATCCTATTTTATATTTAGACACCTCTGTAAAGCAGAAATTTTAGTTCACTGAACAATGAACATACAGGTGTTCCCAAGAAAAGTGGAATCTAAGACATCAAAAAAATCATATTTTATCTCCCTCATTTATACAAAACCAATAAAATATAATAATCACCATTTCTTCATGTCTTTGCATGTAATTGAAGGTAATAAGTAGATAAGAAGTGAAATTTTTTTTGGAAAAGCATCAGCAGTAATACCTGTAGACAATCCAATGTGTGAGCAATACCTTCTGCAAGTTTACTTAGTGCCTTTTTCCTTTTCTAGTAATTTCTTTAAGGCTGGATTTTTTTTTTTTAAATTGTGCATTTGAATTAAACTGAGACTACTACTATCATATCTATAAAATGAGAACCTGAGTTACCTGTATGGCTGTGAGGATATTGGCTAACGCCTGGCCATACGTGTCATGACAGTGAACAGCAAGAGCACTCAGAGGAATTTCTTTCATAACAGCTTCCAACATTCTTTTCATACTTCCAGGAGTCCCCACACCAATTGTGTCCCCCAGAGAGATTTCGTAACAGCCCATACCGTACAGCCGCTTAGACACCTGATTAGAAACAGAGAAACATGAAACCATCAAGAAGAAAGAATATAAAATACGATCAAGAACATACATTAAAAAGGACACACTTCTGTACAGGTTTCAAGGTTTGACCCACCGAGGTGGACCTATGCATCAGAAACCCACTATTCATTCTTGAAAATTGTCACCCAAGAAGAAGGCCCCTAGATCCTCTTATCTGAAATTCATAGTTCTGCTTCTGTACGTGGAATAATCAACCAAGCCAAATCCATCAAAAACTTGCTTTTTGACTCTCCTACAGAATCCAAATAAGCAAGATTTTACACTATGAATTAAGTTTCTGTCAAGCCCTTTCCCAACATTTTCATGTCTCTGGGGATTTCCCAGCTGTTTGGTTTTCTCCATGTACTTTTCAGTTTACAAGTTTTGCAGGGTAAAGACCTGCCCTTTTGTTTCCTTGTTACACAGAGCCAAGCACATGGCTAAGACAATATATAATTAACGAGAAGGCTGATTTTGCTTTCTCTTGGCACTGAAAACATCCATTGAAAACTGAAGTTTTAACATCTAGTTAGTACTAATTTTGCTAGCTTTTCATGAAGTCAAACATTAAAATACTAACAAAGCAAAACTGTAACTTAATTAACATTCTAGTCTTTAGAATTTTTCTTAGTACCAAACAAAACCTTATATAAATAGTTCTTACTTATGTAAGTAGAGTCCTAAATGTTTCTGGAATTACTTCTTTGAGGAGTTCTTTGTATGAGTAAGAGATTTGAGGTCTGGCTTCATAATGTTTGTACGGAGAGAGACATACACTCCAAAGCACAAAATTCTGTTTGCACCAAAAATACTGCTTTAGAAATAGAATGTAGAACCTTTCCATCTTAGTTTTGTTGAACTTATTTGGAAAGGGTTTCACCTTATTGTTAGTTGCTGAGTATGTCTGTCCCCTTTAGCATTCCCCACCGTGCACCAACAATCCCGAAAGGCCACTCCACTGGAATGGAATCCCAATCTGAAAATTAACTGTTTAGAAATGAAAAAATATGACCCTTTTCCAAGACATCTTCAGTTGCACTGCACTCTGCTGTTAAAGCAATTCCAGGACTTCATCAGAGGGATTGCTGTGAATGTGTCTGAGGAAGCTGACAAAGTGCTGCACCAGCGGTCTCGGAAGTGCTGGATTAATATTGCTGTTCACTTAATTCAAAGAACAGCTGAAAAAGAACTTCAAGCAGTCTGAATTGTTCTGCTTAAAGCCTGGAAGTGCTTTATATGCTTTAATACGACTATTGCAAACTCTTTGTGCCTTAAAGTCAAAGAGCCCCTGCTTCGCATCAGCATCAATTCAATATAAGCTTTAAGAAAGGGACATTCACCAGATTGCAAAAATATTCTATCTTGCAGCATATTTTTATATCATCAACAAGGGCAGCTGTTTTAACTGGACTACTGTTGTAAGAAAAAAAAAATCACCTGCAGTTAGTGGTCGATTACCTCTAGTTAATCCCCAAACTTCAGTTTTTGTTTAAGATCAGGGTAAAAGACACAGACTGCATTTTTTTTCCTATGTTCTTTTTCATTCAAGATTCAAAGTTTTTCTAGATAAGCATTTTAGTGATGACAAACAGACTATATAAACTGCTAGAACTCGTGTTGCATTCACTTCTTTCCCATGCTCAGTCCTTAGGTCTTTCAGCTTCTGAAAATGAAGTTCTGAAGGACAAAAAGGAGAGAGGGGGAAACTCTGCTAACAAGCTGAGTATCATCACTGCCTTGTCATGATCTAACCTTAAACTGACCCTTCAGAAGAGATGTATATTTAATGTCAAGAAGAATGTGCATGCTTGGAAGCAGAATGGGAGTTTTTCATATTGGATTTTCTACCCTACCATAGTAGGAGGCAGCCCATTAGTTATAGTTTTGTACATTTTCAATGTGGATTTTTGGGAGGAGGGTGGGGGAGAAGAGAACACACTGTTTTGTCAGGGCAATCAGAATGTGATTAGGAGCTTGCAGCTTTGTTGATGGAGCGGGGTTGTGTTGTGCACCACTGAGCAGTTTTACTATGCATGAGTCTTGTGCTACTCCCCTTGGGACCACTGCCCTGACACCAGGCATTGATCAAAACGGGAGTTGGTGACCCAACACCGCAACCCCTTTGGCATGTGAACAATCCTACTGCTGGAAATAATATCTAAAACTATACTCTTAAACTGAACACAAAAGGTCATAATCGAGTTACGGATTATTTTAAGCAAATAACAACATAAAACCACGCTGCAGTCCTTGTGCTGTCAGGGAAACTTTGCAATAATCCAACAGCTTGCAAATAAGAACAGGCACATTTTCTGTAGCCTACTTAAATAAATTCACTCTCTAGGTTAAAAGGAGGCTGAGGAGAGAAAGAAGTAGGCAGAAAGATAGAAACAGTCAAGCATATGACAAAGACAATGGACAACACAACTGGCTTCGAGGACGTCACACGGTGCTTCCAACAAGTTTCAAGCCTTGAAATTTGCAAACCACAGGATGATAAATGGTTAAACAATGACTCCAAGAAAAAGCAGAGTGATAAAAAAGGACTATGCTGTTTATTTTAATAGATATGGTTGGAGTTTTTTAATAAAGAACCGTATGGATATACCAGATGGGTTCTAGAATGCTGAAAGCATCTGAAATTTGCACTCATGAGATAACTACATGTGAAAGTTATGCACCTAGTGAGCTAGAAATGCACGTTGTCTGGTACCAAAACCTCTCCTAATTGGGTTTGTTTCAGCTAAAAAATCTTTCGCTTAAACAAAAAAATAATTGTCACTGTCATTGACTTTAGACTGAGTGAGGAAACAAGTCTAAACCTTTCAGCCATAGCTGCTGCTTGCTCCCATCCCAAGAAAGATGACCAGAGTTGTGGCCCTCTGAAAAGGTTTAGCAACACGGCCAGTAATTTTGATAATTCTGATTCAGCAAAGGATGGGTGCATGTGTTTATGTAAAATCCATTAACAGCTAATCCAATGCTTCTATATAAACATCAGGACTTGCTGAATCTGGGCCTCGGCAACTTTAATGTGGCAGCTTTTATTCTTAAACACATACACGATGGTGCACAGGTACCCAAGAACACACTTCTTAGGATGAAGACAGAAAATAAAATATCTGTGGGAAGTAAAAGTTTGCAGGGTTGGAACATTAAGTAGCACTCCCACTGGCAAACTGAAAAGGAGCTCTTCTGTGCAGGGAGAGTAGTTAAAAAACAAGCAACACATGGAAAGAAGCCTGTTGGGGAACATGATATTGCAGTAAGCAATTTACCAACAGCACAGCTGAATCTGTCATCACCGCTCCAACTAAAGCTGTGTCACTTCTAACTTTCACTTCATATTAAACCCAATTAATTTAGAAATACTGAGTACCTTCCAATTTTCCAATTTAGCTTTTTTTTTTTTTTTTTTTTTTTTTTTTTTTTTTTTTCCAAAGAGTGAGTATATGTGGCTGCTGTGGGAGAAGTATTATCACAAGTTCCATCTGGAATGTATACTAGAAGATGCAAGACAACAGGACCTGAAAGCCACACACGAAGAACACAATATATCAGACAAATGTTGACTAGCTGCTAGTGCTACAAAGGAAAAAAAAAAGTGGAGATTCTGCTAGATCACCAAAAGTAGGTGATTAAGTGTAACAAAGTTGACAAGTCTTTCTCCAGAAGGAAGGCCAGCATCTTCTGACTCGTGCCTCTTGAATTCTGTCCACTTTCTTCTCTATTGTCCATTTCAGCTCCTGTGCCCTCTTTGCCTTCCTGCAAAATTTAACATTTGTGTATCACCTGTATCTTCCTCTGCTAGAAAAAAAGGCTGGACTAAGACATCATCCTTCTTCTCCTTTATACTGAATGGGAAAAGTGGCTGGGGAGGGAAGGCGCAGCTCATTCCACCATAGCAGCAGAGCAAGTTAAATTGTAGGAAACCATGTTGGGGATGAGTTTTGGTTCCTGTGTCAATCACATGACATTCAAAGGACGCACAATGTTGTAGCAGTGACTCTACCCACCCACAGCACAGTATGCTTATGCCAGCATAAAATGGATTTAAAAGCAGATACCCTCTGCAAGAGGTTGTGCTGGACATCATCTCATACAACATGGGCCACTGACATATGCTCATGAGTCTATTTCCTTAAGCATGTCCTTACCTTTTTTTTGGAGGAAATGGCACATAATATTTTTCCACATGATGGATAACAATCAAAACATACTATTTTCCTTAGAAGTGACTGCATATGGTTGAGTGAGGTTATGCACCTAGTTTTAGTCTTAGCTATGCTTTGTGTTTGTTCTCCTTAATTTTTATCCGTTAAAGATCTTTTTAGGATTAAGCAGAGAACATTACTTATGGACATTTTAAAATGTATTTTTGATTCACTAAAAAGACAAGCCAGAAGTTCACTCTTACTTCTGCCACTTTAGCTGGTATGATGTTTCCTTCATACGGGCATCCCAATGCACACGACACATACCTACAATAAAAAGACAAAACAAAGATGCTTCTGGTTCATATATGTGTATCTGTATCCATCCATGTTACACAAAAAATAAAGGTTAAATACAATTTTGAATATTTAAGACAGTCAAGGTAGAGTAAATATTTGAATGAAAAGATTACATCAGATGAAAATAGCCATTTTATGAATTTTCCTTTTAAATGACAGAACAGAGATTCATCACGTTATTTATGCTCAAAGTATGTCACAAGTTGTAAAGGACTGACAAAGCACTCAAGCTAACGCTGCTTCAGGATACTTCAAATTTTCTTGTTTTTCCTTTCTGAAGTCCTAAGAGCCAGGTCAAGTTTTGCCTTGCCTGGCCCACACAAGGTATTCAGAGGAAGACAGCACGTTCTTCCTTGTACTAGCTGCCCAGATCATAGAAAGCAACACATGGACACGAGCAACTTGTAACAATCCCACCGTCTTGTAAATCATTGGATTGTGCTGAATGGGGTAGCTTTCTCCCTCTAACTCCACAGTGTCATTTCTGCCCCAGAAGAATTATAGCTCCATCCCAAGCAGTACTTTAGGTATGCCTTGGGACACGAAGAAACTGAGAAGCCAGGCTGAGTCTCCCAGCAGCTATCAGCTCCACAAAGCACAAAAATCCAAAGCCACAACCAAGACTCCATTGTTCGGTCTTAAAGCTGTGTTAGCATAGAATTTGGTTTAAATTTCCTTTTTTTAATGACAATTAAGAGCCATGGAATTCCAATTAAACTTCTAATTGTTTATCTTAAATTGATTAGGAATAGGATTAAACTAACCAGAAACAGCCATTCAAAGTCAAAATAAGTGTGGCTGTAGAGGGATTTACAACAGATTCAGAGGCAGGCAGAGCCCCAGTCCCAGTGGGAGGTTGCTCAACTGCTTAATAGAAGAACAACAGCCTTCATTAATCCCCCATCATTCCTTTTCCCTCAACACTGAAGGATATAATGTAAAATTATACACTGTATAATGCAAACAGGATTGAACAGATGCCAGTTTGTATGCAGTCAAGGTCCGCAGGGTAAAGGATGTATTGTTTCTTTTCAGTTGAAGGAGAAACTGATTGATAGAATGTGAAATTAGGATGAGTAACAGGCAAAAACAAATTGTGAAAAAAATGTCAACATTTTAATGCGCATAACATATTCCATCCCTTATATGAAGGTACAGTGTTGGCACACTGGAAGCAGCAGTAAGAATGAGGCAAACCTTGAACCTAAAAAGAACTTGATTAGCCCTGACAAAGAAATGAAAATTAATTTTGTTTCCACAAAAATGGTTGGGTCCATTACATCCTGCTCATAATTTTAGTCCAGATGCCTACTAGGCATGATTTCAATTATCTGTATGTCATTATGAAAACCACGTTTTTGAAACATGGCCATAGACTTCATTAAATATCACCCCCAATTTAGATGTCACTGTTTAAGTTTCAAAATTCTAAATTTTCTTATCTACATTAAAGAGAAAAAAGTAGCTACTGTTAACAGTTAAATAGTGCCTCGCTTTTCAGTGACACAGAACCCAAAACCAATTCTGGATATTTTCCTTAATTTGTTTTAATGCAAACACAGCTTTTCAAACGAAACCAAGCATGAAAAATTTCAGACCCAAAAGACTGCTTTTCATAGAACACTACGGTGCCTAGAGCTAGCGAATACACAGACTTTTACAGAAATTATTTTGCAACATCAGCCACGGCACTTATTCTGAAGTGAGCAAGATGACTACTAAATACAAAGTAAATGCAAAACATGCAGTACATATATGCACGTTCCCTTTAATTATATATATCTTTACACGTTCCTAACAGCTACATATGTTAGATCAAGAAGACGTGCATTTGGTAGTGATAAAATGACATCTGGAATGGAGTAGGGCAAACAAAAGTAAAAGCAGGCCAAAAGGTATCTAGAGAACAAGGGAATACTCCCTGTGGTTCACACCAGCGAGCAGAAACTCGCCTGAGCTCACATAATTCAGCTGGGCCTGCTGGGGTATGAAAGTATGTGGTGACCTGAGGAATCTGCCTACTACAATGTACAAATCTGTTTGAGATTATGAACTCTCTGCACGCTTACACCATGGTGACTAGACTGACATTTTAAACAAGGAAAATATGATAGATGTAATCTATCCGGGCAGCTGATATTCAATATTAAACTGGAGAAAATAGGGATTACTGAAAGAATTTGACAGGTAAAGAACTTCCTACCAGAGAGAGAACAAAGTCCTGTGGAGAATGAAAGAACCGGGTTTCAATAGAGTTCATCAAGGATGAGCTTGGCAGAATTTTATCTAATATTTTGAGTTAATAAATTGGCATAAAAAGCAGAGATGTGGAGATAACATTACATTTCCTAGTACTGTCAATACAAAAAAATCCACTGGGATTCCATGGAGAAAGGACAAGGGCAATAGAAATGGGACTTGGTTAGTGACAATGTCAAAGAAAGCTTGAAGTGAGGCTGTAAAAGAGTAAAATACACCCCAAAAATATGTATCAGGATAAACATTTTTAATAGAGGACATAAAATATGAATTCCATTTGACAAGGTCTTGCTATAGTCTTATTGGAAATAAGCGACACAATTGGACTCATTTGTAGAAAAAGTAATGCGAGCTTTTGAAAGGAGAAAACAGGCATGTCTACGTGAAAGAGGGAAGATAATCATGTGTCTGGTCTGAGCATTTCCCAAGACACATGGACTTAAGGCAGCACCAGGTGGGATGCTTTCTAATTGCATTTGTGTGGTTCCCAATTCGTAAGTATACGTGAGAAGAAATAGGTTTTGACAGGAAGGTAGATCCATTATCTACAGATACGTTTGGTTGTTACATTTTCTTTTTTCTGTATGAAATAACCCCTAATGCATTAAAAGCACAAGAGAATCCAGCAGAGCTCCAAAACCTCCACCCACAACCCTCCAGAAATTGGAGACAACTTTGGAGAAATGTGCTGAAGAACCACTTAGAAAGAAGAAAATTAACAAGACAGAGGCACAAAGAGCAACAAAAGACACAAATTTAAAGAAGAGTCTAGTCAACTGCAGCAAACACTACTGACAAGTCAAGAAGAATGAGGACAGACTACTGTTTTCTGAGATATTGTCATCAGGGAGTTTGGTGAGAGCTGTTGCAGTTGCAAGCAAGGAACAGAAGCCAAAGTGTAGGAGTTATAGGAGGGAATCACAGAAGAGGGTCTCCAGACAGTAATTATAAACAGCGCCTTCAATGAGCGTAGGAATGAAGAGATAGGCGATGAGATATGATATGAAGAACCAAGTAGGGTCAAAGGTGCAATTGTTAAGAGGCAAACGCTTGCTTTTATTGCAGTGGAAAAGAATCAGAGGACAGCGAGAGGTTAAGAAACAGAATCGGGGGGGGAGAAATATGAGGAAGAACAGAACATGGGGTCACTGAGGCAAGTGGAAGGGGTACAGATGGAAAGTAGACAAGAAACTCCTGCTGCTCCGACAGTGGAGGAGAAAGAGAAAAGATTAGGGGAGGGAGAAGAGAGTGACAGAAGGAAGAGCACACTGTATTCTTCCTTAGGAGAAAAAGCAAGATCCTACATGAAGAAAAGCAGCAGAGGGAAAAAGAGGGAAGAGTTTGAGCAATGAGTTACAGGGGCAACTGGGATTTAATTTGGGGATTCAATTAAGTTGGAGAATACAGCTGTTGTCTAAAAAGATGGCAGGAATGAAAGACACAAAAAAAAAGACTTTGTAATGAAAAAGACTGTCTTGGTCTCAGGATATTCACCAGAGACACTTCACAGTATAAGTGCAGAAGCAAATATCTGGGAGTTCACAAAGCAGACTCTGCATTGGAAATGTTTAATTTTAAGTATGTGCTTAAATCTTTGCTGAATCAAGGCCAGACGTTTTAGTAGCTTAACTACATCTTTAGCATGCAAGCAAGAAAAGAGCCTGTGCAGCAGAGGTGGAAAGAAGGACCTGCAATTAGTGACCGTTATCTATACAGCTGCTTTAGGCACACACGGGTAAATGCTGTTTTGCTCACTCAAGCTCTATGAAATCAGAATTCCTCCCTTTAAATAAAAAGTGATAAAAACAAGTTTTCTACTTATTTCACGTGGCAGAGTTTACTAAGTATCCTGCCTGTTCTACACATTTCTCTGCAGGTGAGTATCATTTGGTTTTCTCCTAAATTGTCTTCTGTGCGGTCAAAAACAATTAAAAAAAATAAATCCCAACAACTTTCCAGTGTAATATTTTGGACAAAAATGCTGAACAGCCTCTGGGGATGGGGAGGGAGACGGAAAAGGAAGAGAGTTTTCAATTTCTTCCAGTAAGCCAAAACCAAATAGCAACGTTCCACAAATGGCATAGACAGTATAAGGTCCCCACGATCAAGGTCACTAGGAATGGTGATAATCACCACGCCAGCCCAACAACTGTGAAGTGCAGGATATAAAACCACAAACAAGGGTGAATGAGAGAACTTTTCATAACCAAAGTGTGTTAAAAGGAAAATGAATCCAAGCAGAAACTGAACTCCATGTTGTAATCAGCCCTTTGTCAGCTTGTTTCAGTAAGAGTTCCAGAGCCAGATCCACAGCTGCTACCACAGCTGGAAGCATGGAGCCTCCCGAGAAGCCAGTTGCAGACTCAGATGCTGCTGTTTCCTGTTTATTATTATAGTGTAAGTTCGCATATAATTTACCATGTTCACTGCAGATGTATTTATTTTTATTGGATGTTCGTGCTAAAATGTATATGCCTATCATTTGGTGAATTCATAATATTAAGGTTGATATATTCCGTCTCTCCGCAAAGGAAGCCATTTGTTAAAAACAGGCAATCTTTACTGTAAGGAGAGGGGAAATACAAAGAAGAGAGGAGGGAAAGGAGATTCTTCCAGAAACAGGATCTCCAAGCCAAGCCCAAAATGTGTAAATAAGGCCAGGGTTTTTTTTTTTTCCACATTTGATTTAAAAAAAAACCCAAACAACC